ACAGAACTACCACTGACTTCACTGTACTAAGAAGCTCTCTTATACGCTGTTTCCCTAGATTTTTTGTACCTTTGAAGTTCAGTGCCTGATTTTCATCATTATTTTCAGTCTTGTGGACTTTCATGTGCTGGACCAGGTTTGGAACAGCAATAACACAGAACAATCATTCTTTGAATAAATGTAAATTGGATGAACCATAAATGTTCAAAACAAAAACTTACTCTCATAAAATGTGCAGACTTAGAAAGACTGGGAGAGGTATGAGTTGCAACTCAGGTCCCTCTGTTTATTTACACAGGTTGCCAACTGTCTGCTGTGGGATTTAAGAATGACTGGGTACGTCCTGTGCCAGGGCAATGGCGTGACCAACTACCATCTTCATTTACTCTCTGTAATTAGGAGGAAGCTGTAGCAGAAGGTGAAGAAATCAGCCCATAACTGGATCTGATCACAGGCAGGACATCCTAGTTTCTTCTTTACTGTTTTCAAAGAGTGGGCACAAGCTTGTCTACCATCCACGCTGGACACAAATTAATGTCTGGGCATGGGTTTGTAGTCAAATGCAGGGGATGGAAAAAAAAAAGCTTGGCATTGCTTTACTTCCCAGCACTCGCCGAAACTCCCACCTACCTGCAGCCCAGACTGTTCAGGGACAACCACAGTCATAGATGCTCCAACAAGATACATCCCAGGGGGGTGGATGAGTTAGCCAAGGCCTTCTTTCCTTAAAGGCCTGACACCCCATGCAGAAAGACACTATGGAGGATGCAGCCATCTTGAAGCTCACACAGACATGAGATGCAACGCCTGCTCAAGTTATTCAGTGACTACAAGCCTTGCTCTCCAATGACATCCAGATTTAAACATCATCTACTGAGGCAAATTAAATACAAATTACAGAATACTGCAAATGAAATAAAAAGACACCACATGAGGCACAAGAAACTTCTGAGCCAGAGATCACTGGATGCTGGGATAATATTCTGGAGAAAGTTTGTCATACTCATTGCTGGGCACCTCTATGGCTGCTGCTGGAGACGGGAAGCACTGAGCGGGGTGAAACTGGGCTAATCCAACACGGCTGGGACTACGCTCATAAAAGCAGCACCTATTAATAAGTAGGTTAAGTAAACAGCTCGGCTTTGGGGAAGCATCCGGCCATGTCTCCAAGCTGGGCAGCAGCAGCAGATCTGCACGGTATCATCTGAACCAGAGCAAACTGAGCCAGACTTCTCCAGGAGAAAAAAGGAAGTGAGGAGGATGGCAGCAATCACAGCGCCGCGGTGTCAACGAACGTGCCAGCGGTCGACGCCACAACATATCCCTTGGTCGAGACCAGCGGGGCGCCAGCGGGCCTGGCTGGGTCAGGTCGGGTCTGTCTGGGGCGTAGACAATGGGGTCCCAGAGAAGCAGCTGCCCCCCGGCGTAAGTCACTGCTTTCCCCACCATGCATCTGCTGGGTGAACCCTGACATCAGCCCTCACCACTCCTGTCGCGGGCAGTTCCTGTCTGAAGGAGGGCAGCTGGGGATGCAGTAAGACCCAACATATTTTAAAGAGAGCCGTTCAGCCGCAGGCAGGAAGACAGTGCGCTAATTGTCACACAAGAAAGCCTGATCTCATGAGATAAGGCTTTAATCGCAGCTTCCTCGCCCGGGGGGTGCAGATGGCATGGGTTTCACTGCCCCCCTCCAGCACGCCTCAGGCACTTCGGCGATCTGCTCCTAATTTGGGATGAGCAAATGTCTGACTGGAGAAGTTCTTGGGAATGTATTTTTTCCCCTCCACCTGCTCCTCTAGCTTTCTAAAAACAGAAAGAAAACCCCACGGGAAATAAGAGAGGAAGTCTGGGGTTTAAATTATGTGCTGACACACTCAATACCTCTACAAAAACTGGGTATCCGCCTTACTTAGGGATGACTTTTAATCTACTGTCAGAGGATTAATTATCATCAAATCATAAACTCTAAGCTAGAGAGGAAAGATTAGGTGACTTAACCTTCTTCTCAACACAGCCATGCTTTTCTGCCCTGCAATAAATTTCCAGGCTTTCACTCATCAGGAGAAGCACTCCTGGAAGCTGCTGGTCCACCCCCAGTGCTGTGCCAGCCAGCACCGTCCCTCACGTGGCACTGGGGGACAGACGGGCAGGGAACAGAAGAAAACACCATCTTAGTTGTGCCTCTCTGCCTGCTCAACTCCTGCACTCACGGAGGCTGAAGTAGAAATAAAATCCCTGTTTAGGGCAGATGAGGCTTACGGCCTTTACTGAGTAAATGAGGCGCTAACCTGGTGCATAAAGTTTGTAGGGGCAAATGCTATGAGGACCCTGGGAGCAAACAGTGGCCTCTGTTTGAACCTGCCCTGTTAGTCCTGGTGGTGTTTGGGAAGGACCACCCTTCCTTGTGATGGACTCGACACAGATGAGGTTCCTAGCAGTATCCAGCAGGGAAAGCCCAGCGCTGGTGGTGGCCGTGAGCCCCCACCTGGCAGAGCTGCCAGACGCCCCCCCCGGAGCTCTTACCCTGCAGTATTCGTCGATGGGCTTCAGCCTCTTCACAGCTACATCTCGGACATGGCTCCTCCGGAACAGGATCTTACCTACGGAGAGAACAGATGAAAGGGGAGGGTTAGGGACATCGCCTGCCATGTGGAATAGTGCAACAGCACCGAGGAGAAAGGTCAGCAGATGGGGTTTCATCCCTGGCTCCAACCATGGCCATCGGCAGTGCCGGTGGCTGAGCTCTGCAACCTCGTTACGCCCTGTGACGGAGGAGTCCCGGTACTCCTGGTGTGGTTCGCAAAGCAGCAGCTTTGTGTGACTGCGGCCCCCCCGTCACTACAAGATGGCACACTCGGAGGAGGTGTGAGCCGCAGATCCGCTCCTGCCCTCGGAGCAAACCGCACAGAAACACACTGCGGGGCAGGCAATGGAGGGATCTGGGGCAATAGCTATTACAGGAGCACGCACAGCACCTCTCACAGCTAGACGATGCTGGTCTTAAGTTTGCACAGGAGATGCAGGACATGACCAACAACTACCACAGGCACAGCAGCTCTGTGAAACCCTGTCAATTACCACTGAAGTCCTGCTTGCGTAAGCCGCTGGAAGGGAACCACAGTGACTCGCAGGGCTGAGGGAGTTTTTCTGATATCATCCTGTAGATAACACAAAGGGTTTTGGTTCCCTTTTAGCGATTGCATTATCGTGGAATGGACCAACACTGTGTTATGACTCCCTTTTACTTTGGGACTGCATTGGCACGTCCGTGCTGGCAGCACAGGGAGCATCACTGGGGTGGGATGTGAGCTCCAACTACACCTCATGCCTGCCCACTCAGCTGCTTCCCACTGCGGATGCTCCTGCCCTTGCAGGCAGACAAACCACACAGCCAGCTCACGAGCAAATACGAGGCTGTTGGTGACAGAGCCCTTATAAATCTACAGAAGGAAACCAAATAATAGAAGAAAAATAAACAAACTTTCTTTTTTTGAAAGAAAAATAACAACCTCAGTGTCCTTATTGGATGACATTTCTGCAAGCAGTTAAGATTAAATAAACTGCTGGGTTTTGTGTGAAACTGATTGTAACAAAGTTTATCAAAATAATCTAGGAGCTGAGTTTCCCCACAGACAAGGATGTCATAGAGTTGGTATTTTTTTGGCTAGAAGGGATTATATCTTCATATCCTTTTTTGGTGGTTTTCCTCCCTTTTTCTTTTGTGCTGTATTTCTTTTAATGTAATGAGACAAGAATAAATTATATGTTCTCCTTGTGGTGGAAGAAAACAGTATCTGCCAGCATTATTTAGGTCACGAAATGTCTACGTAAAAAACCCACTGACAGACATACCACCCCCTGCTCCAAACTTCTGCCAATAGGCAAGTAAGACACTCATCCATAGATCATGGGATAAGAAAATGGACTCGGAAATGAAATCAGATCCAAAATCTGAGTGTATGGCTTTGATTTTGTCATGATTACACAAGCTGAGAGGTTAATGAAATGACAGCCTTTAACAGGCCAGTAGCAGAGGCTCTAAACCCTCCCAGACTCAGCTCCTTTTGGTTGCCTTTTCCTCCGTAGCTGCTAATCTGGAAGGCGTTACAGTCTTTTGCTTCAGACAGGAGAAAGTGGTTTATCTCTGTCCCCAATTCTGTCAGCAAAACAGTTTGTCCTTGTGAGGTAAAGCCATTTCCTAGTGCCATAAATTTATCTCTCTGGGTTCCCTGTGGTTATCTCATTACAAAGGTGAGCCATTCCTGTAGGATGTGATGCCACGTGGTCACAGAGCACAGGGGAAATCTTCAATAGGTGTCCGAGGTGTTTGTTGGAGCTTGAGGGATTTAGGCAAAGACTGCTGAAGAAGGAAGGTGGCACTTCCATCTTCCTGCACCGACCAACTTTGGACACACCAAAACCTTACTGCTTTCCTGCTTCTCTGCCCAGTAAATGGGGAGAACTACCTGCACTTCCAAAATATTTTTTATTATTTCCGATAGCCTCCTGGATCACATAGTATTTGTACTGCACAGCTGCAGTAAGCCACTTTTTTAGGGGACAGAGGTGTGGGGGTAGCTGTAGAGAAAAGACTGGTTCCTTTCTCAGTGCTCCAGCAATGCTGGTATGGGAGATCTTGGCATTTCTTTGCAACTTTTATAAATATACTGCAAAGAGAAAGCAACATTTTGGAAACATTATCACTTTCTGGCTTTCCTGTTTTCAGTTCAAGCCACGTGTCAAAAGTCAAAGTGGTGACCACATAAAAAACATAAAGGAACCCAAGACTTAAACACATTAAAGATCTCCTGTAAATGCAATTCAGCTTTCCTAAACAGACAGTTTACAGGGAGGCCCAGTCTTCAAAGTAATGTAATAAATGAAAGACTCAAACATAAGAAACAAGATAAATATAATAGAGAACGTTATATTAAACACAGAGTACAAAAAAGACCCCAGGATATGATGAGTCTTAATTCAGTCCTTAAATGGAGATGGAAAATATCAGGATCACTGTGGTGTTAGGATGAAGCAAAGCCCAGAAGGTGCTTCCATTTTTATCCCTTCAGAAAAAGGAAGATTTTCACTCTGCTGTTGGAAGCTGGAAAAGGCTCAGTGAGGGCTGTGGGGAAGATCTCTGGCTGCCCAGTCCAGTAGGATATTCAAAACTGATATCTGGAGAAGGTCAAGTAATTTAGAGCACCACGGAGTAGCAGTCAACAAGGAAAAAAACAAGAATTAAAAGGAGGATGCTCTGCAACCACATCCAGTTCTGGTGGGCAGCAAGGAGGAACCCTGACCTCCCAAATCCTGGGGGTCCTCAGGCAGAGAAGCCTCATTTCCAGGGGTACTGAAGCACCTCTAAGGAAGGATAACTTCCCAAATTCCCAGCTTCTCCCCTTTTCTGGGAAGACAGACTGTACTGACAGAACCTCATATGAATCTTCCACAATCAACTAACAGGAACCACTGCAGACCTGGTACAAGTTACTACTGCTTTCTCCAGCTCCCCCATTTCTACTGATCTTCCTCTGAAAGCAGGGGAGGTCCCATGGGGCTGGAAAAGGAAGCTAACCTGAGACACCCACGCTGTAGGCTCTTTACGCTCTCCAGGTGGGTGCACTGGACACAGACCCCATTAGGGTCGTCATAAAGAGCCAAAGAGTAGGCAGACAGCCGAGCAGTGGGGGCACACGTAAGAGCCAGCAAGGAGCCCTCAGGACGGCAGTGGAAAGGAACATTTCACGCAGCGCTTACGTGAAATGGGGAAGTCCTGGGGTGGCTGGCAAATGCAGAACAGCCCAGGCAATTTCCTTGAGAGGGTGGAGTAGTGGTTTACGTGCCGCTTCGCTTTTCCTCTGGGTAGCTTCCACATCTACTTCTAGGCGAGTACATACAGCGCTGCTTCCTCTCTCCTGAATTTTACTGCAGCTCTTTTAAGCCTCCTCAGGCACCACACCCCCGTTTTATAGAAGGACGAGCGACACTTCAACCATGCTGTGCCCAGCTAGGTAGTGAACGGGAAGTCAGTCTCAGACTCAGATGGGAAGCTATAGGCTAGGTGGCACGGCGCTGCCTCGTGCACACGTTAGGAGGTCTGGCACATGTTGGGAAAGACTCCGAGGACTGCAGCACTGGGAAAGAGAGATGTGGGGAAGACACAGGGCTCCAGCCCTGCTGCTAATGCAGGATAACAATATTTATTTTTATCCTTTTTTCCTTAAAGAAAATATTATTCCTAGGAAATTAATGTGGATAAGAGGCAAAGTATCAGGTTTAGCATTGTAGGGGACATCTTAAGTCATCCCTTCATCTCTCTGTATATATATAGATGTAGTCTTTAATTCTGCGACCACACACCTCTTCTCCCACAAGACCTCAGTTTCCTCCTGTATACACAGCGGGTGCACAAAGTGGGAAGAATAAAGCTATGCAGGGGACTGTCTATCTGGCAGCTGCTGATTCTGTAAGCTTAAAGGTATCCTCTGAATATCACTTTATTCCTGCACAACCTCATACTTTGAGTAGCACAGATTTTAACAAGTACGATGGACCCCAAGAACAAACAGGCTTAAAAAGCATCCCAGCGCTTGGGTCCTCCCATTAGCCTACAGGTCTGTGCTGAACACACCACAGGGGTCCGTAGCCTAATGCTTTGTGATGGTCACGGATGTGGTTTGTGCAGGGAAAAAGCCCAGCTCCTGGTGGGCCTGTCGACACTGTGGAGCACGGTCTGGAGGCAGGACAGCACCAGGCATCACTAGGCAGAGAAGCACTAGAAATCCCCAAAGGGATGCTGAGCAGGAGAATCCAGTCTTTCCTCTTCAAGAGAGGGGGACATATGCTATACAGCCCCTACAATCACAGCAGATGCCAGCTGTCATAGCAGCTACTGTCATAGACTGGTTGATTCGTAAGCTCTAAGACAGCCTCTAAAACAAATCTCCTAATCACACCTTTCACTGTCACGGAGAGGCAGCTCTGCCAGCTTTGCTGCTGTTGGGAGCTGTGGCAGGGGCAACAGAGAGGCAGGGAAATTGCTGTTTAGCTCCTTTCCAAATCTACCAGAGATCAGATCCATCTCTTGCTCTTACTCTCCAATCGCTGAGCTTGAGTATCCTTTCAAGGGACATCTGGGTGATGGATTAATCTAAGGACACCGGTTGTTTCATACAAGGAGCGCCTCTGTCAGAGGTTAGGAAGAGCCCAAACGCACTGTCAAAGAGACGATGGACTAATGCATATTCACATTTAATCTTCTACTTCAAGTACTGTCACCACACTTCAGAGGGCAGTACATGCAGCAAGCCATAGGATAAATATTCAACAGCAGACAGCCTGAATACTAATAGGCACACTAAAAATACTGTAACATCTCATCTGATTTATGTTTAAAAGAGACATGTGCTGCCTCTGACTACAGAAGCTCCAGCTGTGGAGACTCTGTCAGTCAGCTGTCTCCAAGGAGCAGGGAAGAGCTCCTGTTTTTGCCTCTTCACGTTGTTCCTGTTACTGTGCTGTTGGTTCTCTCCTCTTTTTACCCGAGAACCTGGGAAGTACCAGGTCTGTATATATATTACTAAGCAATGTGTTCAACCTA